CACAGGAAACCCCATCACATCCTATGATGCTTCATTCAAGATACACACTATTAAGAACTTCACAACGTCTCCTGTTTTCCCTTCACAACCATTTTACAAGTCACCAGAAGCTCTCAGTACCACACGGTTGTTTCCTCCTTAATCTTGCTGAATCCGGTCTCTCTCCCTGCCAGTCCTTCCCCATGATGCTAGATGAATGGTCTTAAACATTCGTTTCGTCCTATACGTTTCTGTCTGAGCAACAATTTAAAAATTCATTTCTATTTTTCTCAAAGCAATGCACAGTAAGTTTTAAAGTCAAACATTTTTTAAAGCTTATAATGAAAAAAAGAGCAGCCCGCTGCCTCACCTCCCCTCACCCCTGAATCTGACTCTCTAGGGGTGACCACTTGTAACTCTTTTACCTGTTCCTTCTAGTACTTATTTCCAATTTTCTAAACATTATACTTAAACACCTGCTATTTCTTTACCTTTCAGTTTGAGATATGGCTGAAAGACTTCCCTACCGTGGGACCTAAGATTTTAGCCTTTGCCATTTCTTTTTCTCTCTCGTATTTATCCTTCCCCATCCTCTCAAGGCAATTACAGCGCCAGAGGGGCTGTCTCAAAATCCAGCGTTAACAGGGTAAGTCTGGTTGGTTGACAGCTGAGCGGCAGAGAGGCCTCACTGTGCTTCTATTCCTTCAGTGGTAACACTTTCATCTTTTGTGAATTAATTGCCTACATCAGTGTGTGTGTGCAAAGGCAGACAAACATTTATGTATTCATACATGTAATTTTGAAGAAAACCATTAAACGCTTCTAAATACAATAATATACATCAGGAAATATATTCGTTTCATTTTTTTCTTAAAGATACCATTTTTAGAGCCCTCCGTCATTCTGCTGAAACCTGGACTTGCTGCTCCCGAGGCCGTCGGACAGTTACCACCGTCATCCTGGAAGCCTCCTTTCCTTCTCTCCACTGAGTCCCTTGCGGCCATGAGTCTCGTGCCCTTCTCTTTCTTCAATGAATTCCTTATTTTCAGTGACTCGCCTTCTCCGGTAACGTCTTCAGAAGGAGGGTCTTAACAATATTGCCGTTCTCGCAAGTAATTGCTGTTCTGGCTAGGTATGGCATTCTGTCTTGGAAATGATTTTTTCCCTCCAGAAAGTATTAAGAACCTCTCTATGGGTTTCTGCCTTTCAATGTCATTGAGAAGTCCAAAGCCATCCTAATTCCTGATTCTTTATAGATAAAACTCATCTCCTTCCTAATCACCAGAAGCTTTCAGAATATTATTTTACTCAGATGCTGTGACATTTCATGATGATTTAACTTGGTGTGGTCTCTTATTTTTTTAATTGAAATATAGCTGACTTACAATGTCATGCTAATTTCTGGTGTACAGCATAGTGATTCGTGTGTGTGTGTGTGTTCCTTTTCATATTTTTTCATTATAGGCCATTACAAGGTACTGAATATAGTTCTTTGTGCTATACAGCAGGACTTTGTTCTTTATCTATTTTATATAGAGTAGTTAGTATCTGCAAATCCTGAACTCCTAATTTAGCCCTCCCACCCCCTTTCCCCCAGCAACCATACATTTGTATGTCTGCTATCTATGTCTGTGAGTATGTCTCTGTTTCGTAAATAAGTCCATTTGTGCCTTTTTTAAAAATTCCACATGTCAGTGATATCATAGGGTGTTTTTCCTTCTTTCTGGCTTATATCATTTACTATGATGATCTCCAAGTCCATCCACGTTGCTGCAAATGGCATTATTTTATTCTTTTTATAGCTGAGTAGTATTGCATTATATAAATATACTACAACTCCTTTATCCAGTCATCTATTGATGGACATTTAGGCTGTTTCCATGTCTTGGCTATTGTAAATAGTGCTGCTATGAACATTGGGGTGCATGTGTCTTTTCAAGGTGTGGTCTCTTTTTATTAGTTGTGTGGAGTGTTTAGTGGGCATTTTCATTATTAATTCATTTGTTCCCTTTTCCTTCCACACCCACCTCTGATCTCCATGACACACCAAGAACCATTACAATATACTCAGTGGACACCTTTTATTTGAATGAATTTTTACAAACTGTGTATTCTATGTACATGTATTTTTAATTTTTAATTTCTGTAGATGGTATTATATCATATTGTTTCCTTCTTGTTTTCAGTTTCTAATGTGTACATGGTCTTTGTTCTCCTGACCACTGCACAGTATGGCATGGCATGTATGCATCCAACAGACACCTAACTACTGTTGTAGGTGTGCACATCCCTGCTATAAAAATTATGCTGGAAAGAACATCCTTGCCCACATCTCAACACATCTTCCATACTGGCAATGTGCATTGATAGGTTCTGGGAACATTTGGGTAATTTTTCTTCATTAATTTCTTCCTCTCTAGTCCCCTGTTTTCTTTATGGAATTCTTATTAGTTGAATGCTGAACCAATCCTGATTTTCTTATTTTTGTTCTACGTTCTAGGGGATTCCATCAACTTTTTATTCCAACCAGCTTTATTATCTTTTTATTACACTTTTTACATTAATTCACTTTACATTAATGTAAATTTTACATTAATTACTTTACATTAATTTCCAAGAGCTCTTCTTAGCTACTAAATATTCTCTTTTTTTAATAGCAATCTGTTATTTTGTGGATAAAATAACTGCTCATCTATCTCTGCTGACATCAATTATATTTTTAAGACATTATCTTTGGCTCCCTGCATTATTCGTATTCCTCCAAGTTGCTTTTTTCTATTTATTATTTTGATTTTGTCTTTTGTGCTGGACATTTTGTTTGAATGCTGAAGACCCCTAGACGTGTACTCATATTTAAGAGCAAGGCACCAAAGGCTTATGAGAAACTCCTGTGAGAATGGTTGGGGCTTGTAGAATGGTGAGTGTACTGGTGCCCCCTCTCCCAAAGACACGTCCACATCCTAGTTCCTGGAACCTGTGACTATTACCTTATTTGGAAAAAGAATCTTTGCAAATGTAATGAAGTTCAGGATCTTGAGATGAAAAGGTCATCCTGGATTACCCAGGTGATCGTAAACCCAATGACAAGTGTCCTCACAAGAGAAAGGCAGAGGGAGGTTCTAGAAAGAAGAGGAGGAGGCAATGTGGCCACAGAGGCAGAGGCTGTAGTGACACAGCCACCAGCCAAGGAATGCCTGGAGCCACCAGAGGCTGGAAGAGGAAGGAAATCAATTCTCCCCTAGAGCCCTTGGAGGGAGCTTGGCCCTGCCGATTTTGGACCTGTAGCCTCCAGAACTCTGAGGCAATTTCTCTCACACTTTTAAGCCACCCAGTTCACAGTAACTTGCTGGGGGGGCCACAGGGAACCACCATAGTGGGCCTCACTGAAGGCGATGGGTGGGAATTGTTACTCTGGTCCCCCTTAAATATCAGGGGGCATAGGTCTTCTCTCTCCAGGGGGACAGTGTACCCACAGACGGATGCTGGGAGCCCCTGCCACACTGCTGCACTGCTGAGGGCCAAGCAGGAGGAGTGGGCTGGGAGGATGCCTTCAGTTTGTGGACTTTCATTTAACACCCCCATTCTCATTACAAAATATCACCCCCACCCTCAGAGGCACATGATGTTACCATTCAAGCGTCTCCAATTCAGCCTCTGCGGAGAGAAAGCCTTCTGACTTTGGCGGGGCTGGGGGATGGATGGGGCAGACGCCTATGAGCAGTCTCGGGGGAGAACACCTGCAAGCATTCGTTACAAGCACTTTTGAAAGCTCCTCTCGTGGCAGCACCCCCAACTCCCAGCTCTCGGCCATACCAGACGCCTCCTTTCCTGGGCCTTTCTACGGCTCTCACTTTGCTTTCTCGTTGGCATTCCTCGTTGCAGGCAACGGAACCTCAGCGTCCGTGCCACTACATCAGTTGCCATTTGATGGCTTCAAAAATGTTGTTGGCATCTCTCATCTGTTTGCATTTCCTCCTGTGTTCTCTCTGTCACTGTGTCCTTCTCAAAATTTACTTCCTCTGTTAGTGGAGTTATAAGAGGTGACCAACTTGGTTCGGTCTGCAACGTTTTAAACAGAAGCACCACCTTACAAATTTCCACTTCAAGAACTGATGCCATTCAGACAAGAAACGATGTTCAGTTTTGCTTAGAAAAACAGAAGCCCCTCTGAGACGCTGGTTTAGCCCTCCTAGTTTATCCCTTTAATTCCCAAAGTGAAATTTCCATGCGGGTTAAATTAGGTCACATTAAAATCTCCTCCCTCTCCACAAGTCCCATTTCTTCACGTTTGCTTCTGGTGTGGTGCCCCCTTCCTGAAACAGCCACTCCCATAGGTTGTTTTATCCTATTACATATCTTGCATCCCATGCAAAATCCCAACCCTTCATGAAACCACCCCTGATCATTTCAGGCTACATAGATCCACCCCTTCCCCCAAACAAGTGATTGCATCCTGTATCAGTGAGTCAAAGAACTCCTGTTCCCTGTTTCAAGTGTCTGTGTTGTCTTCTCAACAAAACATACGTTTCTTAAGGGCAGAAACCATGGCTTGTACTTTGTGTGCTCCTTGCGGTGCTCACATGGCATCAGACGCTGCGTGCTTGTTAACTGATGGACACGAATTCAAGCCACAGGTATGGAATGTGATGTCCAATACATGACAAAGTAGGAATCTTTTGAGGGTAAAGCCTGTATCTTATTCAACTTTATATGCCCAACAACCAGCACCATGTATGACACAGAAGGTCTCTGACTGTGGAGTGATGAAATGAAAGGCTGGATGGATAAATGGACGCTCACTAGATACCATGCTCAATGCTGTACCAATCTAAAGATTTTTTAATTCCTAAGAATAATAAAGATGATTAAAATGACGGTTCCTGACTGCATTCCCAGCATCGAGAGCAGCATTTGGCACAGAGGGGCGCTCAGAAAATGAAGGGCACGTGGATGGATCTGCCAGGGGTCAGGGGCATTAGTTTATAGTCAGAAAGGAGAGAAGAGAGAATGCTCTGGCTTACCCGGAAAGCACTCCCAGGACGAGGTTGAGAACAAAGAAGGATCCAATGATGATGAGGGGAATGAAGTACAGCCAGTTCCAGGTGGCTCCTAAGGCATCATTGGTCTGAAAGAAAGAAAAATAGTTCCTTAATACTCCATCCAGACCCTCTGCCGGGAAAAGGCTTCCATTCCCGCAGCTTCACACAGAGGGCAATGCAACCAGCACAGGGCAACACAGTGAAACGCGGCCTCGCTTCACTCCCAATTCGGCATCACTGGAGGTGAACTCACATCCCCCCGTGGACACTGTGAAGGACCCTGTCAGCCCCACCTACCATTCTGAGTTGGAACAACCTAAAGCCCTCACTCAATGGATCACCGAACCCAGAAAGGTCAAATCCTCTTCTAAACAGTCACTGGTGTTATTGTGTTTGGTGATGTGGGTTCGAAGCCTTTGCACTCGAAAGTGGACAAATTCTCAGAAGACGGAGGCAGGCCATGCCCATCATTTTATTCCATGGACATTGGCCAAGGCTTTGACAGGTTGCTTGGGAGAAATCAGTGTTACCCACATCCTGCTCAGTTCTTGACCCCGGGCTCTGACTTTCTTCCTTCCATCGTGGTCCGACAGTGCAGAGCTAGACCAGGGCTGGCCCCGGATAGGCTCTGGCAAAACAAGGCAGAGATAGAGACTGGAAGAGTGACCCCTCGCTCTCTGCTCTCTGATGCCGACACCCAGTAAACCAAAAACTGCACAGAAGTGCATACTGTGGATTCTTACACAAGTGAGATGTGAGGTCCTTGAATGGTAGGGGATTCAGGGGGGATGCCACCACATGCCGTAGCCCAGAAAAGCAACTCTTGGCAGGATGTCTCGTGAGGACCTTGAAACAGTTTTGGAGCGTTTTGAGAAGTCCCCTCTAACACCTGAGCCTTTCAGCCAAGCTCTGCCTTCACCCTCTCTCCCCATGATACCAACCTCAGGTCTTCCTAGTTAGTCTGCTTGAATTCCATTTTACATACATAGGGCTTTGAAATCCACCCCCGTTCCGCCCCAACCCCGTCACAAACAAACTTTAGTATTTGTTTGAAATTCAGCAGTTTTTAGAAAGATATTTTATGCCCAATCTACTAGAGAAACAAGGCCATCAAAATCAAATGCCGTGCCTAAAATCCACCCGCTAAATTAGCAAAATTAAGGTCTGAACTCGGGACTTCTATGGCAAAATATTCCTTGTCCCTGTGATGTACCTTTTTCTCCCTCTTGCTACTAAACTTCACAAACGTATTTTGATTCACTGTCTTCCTGCTTCCCGTGGACTTCTATGGCGTTCTGTTTTGTTTCTCTGCCAAATTATCTCATTGTCTTTCTGCTTCCCCTTCAAACGTGTCAGTCTGCAGACTACAGCCTACCACTGACCATGGCAGCTGTCACTGTACAGTAGACTTTTCCATTCAAAAGAGCCTCTGCGACAACCTCTTTCACCAAACTTGTGTCTTTTTGTCTTGCCCCTGCACTGTTCAGAGGGGTATGATGGCAAATGAAGCAGAATAAGTTAAAAACAAACACCTTCCGAACTGAATGAACAAAAGCGGAGACCTACCAATTTCAATGTCTAATTTCTAGTTCTTTGGTACAACCAGGTGTGGTCAGTCACATGCAAGCAGGGAAGCTGCGGAACAGATCTCAGGGAAAACTGCTCCCGATCATCAGTAGGAAGATGCAGAAGAACTAGATGCCAAGGGCCACAGGGAGTTTTAATGAACATGGGGAGATATTTCTTCTGAGATATGAACAGAATGAATGATCCTTGTATAATTCATGATTATAAACACGACATTTTGTAAAGACTGGCTAGCTCCGATGGTTCTCCAGATCAACATGTTTCATTTACTCTGTGACTTAAACAGTCCTCACCCCACCCTCATCACTCTTTGGCAGCAAGAACCGAGTCTGCTCCCAGCACCCAGATCAGGGCTCAGTTGCTGACAAACATTAGTTGGTGTCAGCAGTGACGATGATAAAATTGTGACTTTTAAGGTGTCTTTTGTCGCAGGAGTGATGCTATATTTTGAGAATGGCCAGAGCAGGTTCAGTTGGGTGACTGTTTGCCAGAGATGCTGTAGGGTGAAGAACATTTTCCAAATTGTGTTCTTGCATTCCCATTGCTAGAGATCTCTGAAGATGTTAATGTGTTCTGTAGAAAATGAGCTTCTGGAACCAAAGAAGCTTGGGAAATACAGCAGATTATATTTTCCCCTTAGCCTGTGAGAGGACCCACCAAAAGCAACATTACTAACTTTTAGTCCATCATTCCATACACTTCCTTGATTACAAAACCCTCTGTTTCAATGGAAATCTATTAACACATCAGGAAATATAGGGATCGGAGGACACAGGCCCAGAGTCTGGAATGTGCTTCCTAATTCTTCCCTAAAATACTGGTGAAGAAGAGTGTCTTTTTACTCAGTGTATTGGGAGAAGGTCTTGGTTTCACTTTAACCTCCATTAAGGCAAGAACCTTCACTGTCTGCTCATTTGTGTCTCTGGCACCTGACAGAGAGTTTGGAACACATAGATGTTCAATCAGCCAGCAGATGACCACCATTTGAGTAAGATGATGCTCACGTTCAAAATACGCCCCCTCCAATTCGTTCTGATACTACCCTCCAAGCTTTGTCTGAATCGCTTTACAAAAAAAATCATCCACTATGGCAGTGGGGCCTGTTGGATGGGAAAGAGAAGAGAAACAGAAGAGAAGGAGAAGAGCCCACCTGGGAGGACCCAGCATCAGTGGCGCTGGACCCCAGGGGGTCATTAACGATGACTGACAGCTTAAAAGGTTCTCCTGGAGAAAGTGGTCTGACAGCTCCCGAGATTATTCACAAACCTTTTAATAGACTTGCTGCACCCTCTCTACACCTTCCTCCTGTCCTGCAGGTTTCTTCTCAGCTCTTCCCCACCCTCCCTCTCCAGGTGCACCTTACACCCCCACCTCGCGTGCCTGTCAGTGGATCAATGACCCGCAGTCCACCGGGACAAGGGGACAACCCTCGGCAGGAAAGGGGCACGCCGAGGACGTCACGCTTCCCTCCTTCAAAATGGCAAGGTTCTTTCTGACGCTCATGAGAGCTTCAGTCTCCTCCTGATTCATCATTACCAAAACCTTTAGATTGTCCAGTGTAGGAGAGACAAGTACTGAGGCGCCTTCTGAGACAAGAAAAGAAGAAAGTAACTGACAACTCCTAAGGCAGGAAGTCCCCTGACACCATGAGCTGGGGGTCAGGGGTGCCAAACAGAAAGCTGCCAGTTCCACCCCAGAGTTCCCTCTCAAGGTGGGCATGCGTGTCTGGGACACAGCGGGAGGAGGAAGAGGGGAAGGCAGGCTGTGTGAGACGGGGAATCTCTCCCCTTCCTCTCTCCACCGCAGCCCCGGCTTCTGTGACTCTCCCAAGCAGTTTGCATGCAGGCATCATCACACCTGGTGCTCCCTAGGGACTCTTCCTTCAGGGACAGGGGACGGCCGTGCTAAGTACCCTGAGCAAGATCCTGGGGAAGGAGCCCCACAGCTTTCCAAACATGTTCCACTGGATTCTGGCCCGAGGAGAGTCCCACAGTGGAAGCTTCCCTGCCCAAAACACTACTGTGGAGCCGCGGAAGTGTACACCAGGCCCCACGCTGCAAAGAAGGCTGCACCAGGAGTGGCAGCCGCCTCCTTCCACGCCATTCACGGAACACCTGCTCTGGGGCTGGCAGTGCAGAAGAGCGCTTTTCTTGGGGGCAGTGTCCTCTTATTTAAGATGCTGATTCTCCTCCCAACGACTCAGTCGAGCCCCTAGACTGGCAGGCTGGCTGCCCTCCGTTTCACTCACCTGCTGATTCCCCAAGTGACACACACGCACACGTGTGCACGACGGGGGTGATGACAGACAGAGAAAGCAGCCGGGGGTGGTGGCCCACCTGCACAGGGAGTGCTCAGCGGTACCAGGCCTGGCACAGTGGGGATGTGTTCCTTCGGGAACCTGCCTGATCGGGGGTGGTGAGCACACCTACTCCCTGTGTAAACAGGCAGATGTGGCAATTATCACATTAATCTCAGAGGGATGGGGAGACAGTGAAAGGCGGGGGTGGGAAGAGTGGGACTGGAGAGAAAGATGGCGGTGAAGGCGGCAAGAGGAAGGGGGCCCTGTGGTCCTCTTGGCCTGAGGCTGTAAAGGCAGGGCCAGGCCCCCAACCCCGGAAAGAGGTCTCTGTCAGGGTTCCACAGGACTCTGCAGATAACATGCTAGAGGGCCTCCTCTTGCAAGTCCCCACCTTCACAGAGCAGCTCCGACCAGTGAGGCTAAACTACAAGCAGCTGAGTGGCGAGGCACAGTGAATTGGGACTGAGAGAAAAGGGGATGCTGATTCTGGGGTCCTTTGGGGGAAAAAAGGTCTCTGAGGCACACCTGCTTCCCAGGTAAGTTCCAGCCTGGCCCCCAGCAGGGCGCCCCAGCCAGCGCACCACCGGCATCTTAGGGAGCTCTTTGCTGGGGGGCTGTCCTGTGCGGGGCACTTGCAGGGCCCCCGGACTTCTACCCACTGGTTGCCAAGAGCACTCCCCATGTTGTGACAACCAACAGTGTCTCCAGAATTGCCAAGCACCCTGGGGGGCAAACACGGCTTCCACTAGAGAAGCTGGCCCAGAGGCTCTGTCTCAAGACGGGAGCTTTGGAATTCCCATCTGAGCTCAGGTCAAGGGAAGGCTGGGGCAGCTGCCCGAGGCTCTCAAAGAGGCAGGCCATTCATCTCGGCAAAGGATCTGTCCATGGCCTCTGCTGACCACCCCCGGGAGAGAAATTCAGAGAGGAGTAAAGGAAAGGGACAGAGGCCAAGGAGGACTTACCTGCTGACCACCTTCCCTGAGGGCAGCACGCCCACATCTGGCACTGCCCGGCCGCCTTACCTCCCCTGGGCCCCCACTGCATTCAAGTACCAAGTAGGTAGCTCCTTTCTATCCCAGAGGACTTGGGACTTGGAGGCCACGTTTCAGAGCCCAAATGTATTTTGTTCAGCAAATTGGTGGACCATGTACTATGTAACAGACACTCTCCTAGGTACTGGGGTTAAATGAAGCAGCGGAC